ACCTTTCAAATAAATACAAATAAAAACAAATCTTAAAAAAAAGTTAAAAGTAATATATGGGCCTAACAAGTTTAAGAGGTGATGCTACTAAACAAAACTTAAAGTCACAAAGTCAACTAGAGTCAAGATAGAAAAATTCAAGCAAGCAAAGTTTTCCTCTGGAAAGAATTCTGTTCTGACTTGTTGAAGGAAATTCTTGCTTTCAGTGTCTTTGTGACATCCTCTTTCTAGAGTGTTCTTGTTAGAGTGGGACTGTAATGTTCTCTAAATTCTTAACCACGTCTGTCTCCTAACATGATAGATAATTAACACACTTAATCTCTGACATAATGAGAGCTTCTAGTCATATAAGGGACACTACTGAGGATATAGAATGAGAAGCATGGAAATAAAATGCTTTGGCTAAGTTGACATATATTACATAGATAAAAAATGTCCTCTGATAATTTAACATTTTAATATTTAATCATTATAATTTAGATACTTACATTCATGGCCAATTGGATGACATATTTTTCTGTATTTTAGCATCCTGTTAAAAATAAACTTTTAAAACAACCAAGCTATGGGGCCAGCACTGTGGCACAGCAGGTTAAAGCCCTGCCCTGCAGCACCAGCATCTCATATGGGCACTGGTTCAAATCCCAGCTTCTCAGCTTCCAATCCAGCTCTCTGCTATGGCCTGGGGAAAGAGAAGAAGATGGCCCAAGTCCTTGGGCCCTGCACCCACGTGGAAGACCTGGAAGAAGCTCCTCGCTCTTGGCTTCGGATTGGCTCAGCTCCAGCAATTGTGGTCATTTGGGGAAATGTACCAATAGATGGAAGACTCTCTCTATCTCTGGCTCTACCTCTCCCTGTAACTCTGTCTTTCAAATAAATGAAATAAATCTCAAAAAAAAAAACCACACTCATTCACTCCATAGTCAATATTTTTGGTCAAAAAGTAGAGAATTTGGATTATTTATCCCACTTCTGATTTTATGAGGACAGTTTATAACAACACAGATCAGCATAGATGATTTTAAAAATGTACTGCTACCCTCAGAAACAACTGTAGCAACTAAAGCAATAAAAAGGGATAGATATTAAAGCCTCAAAGTCTTAAATAGAGTTATTAATTTCAGCTGTTCATTTGACTCTGACATTCTTGGTAACTAAAAGAACTGGCAATGTGATTGCTTACATGATATTCTTTGTATATAACAATAGAACACATCACTTACCTTTGGTTGGCTTAAGTGAGGATGCACTGAGGGTTCCATTTATAAAACTGGTATTAAAAATGTATTTGAGGGGATGTTTAAGGGATCTGCATCCCTTAGACATTCTTGTGTAAGGAATAGCATGTGATGTGCTGACCAAAACTTTAGGAACAACCCTGTCAGAGACTTAGTGTAGGAATTATTTCATGTAGAGTACTTTTACATAGGCTGGGAACATGATTTCAAAGCACAGTAATGCAACTCTGCCTGGGGTGTTTAAACAATGCCACCCTACATATTTACCTTCTAATCATTTGGATTGCTCTGAAAATAAATCATAGACTATCTAGAAGTATGAATTAACTATGTGAATGATATATTTTGTATCTTTCAATAATTTATTTTATAGAAGTTGAGCAAGGACTCCAAGTGCAAGTATTCTGTTTTACATTTTTGCAATCCTTCACTTCTTTGGTAATGGAGAATAATATATAAATACCTTATTAATCTCTGTGCTTCTACAGAACTTTTAGAACTTGCCATGTTGTTTTGTAATGTTATATCCTCAAGGGCAAAGGCAAAATCTCATTTATCTTTGTATCCCAGCATCTAACAAAGAAACTGGAACATAATGGATTTTTTAATCCATTATACTTTCCTGAATGAGCTACTTTGCAGACTTTTGAGAGCATCATCACCTTTCCCTTAGCTTAAAAAAGGTCAAGGTTATGAACCAAGTAATATAACAGAACCTAATTCATGACAAAGCTTTCTCTTGGCATAAATTCAAAAGCATTAACTAGAAGCAAAGTATCAAATGATGTGGGTATGGATTTTTTTTTTGAACCAGAAAACCATCCACAGCAAACTTCAAAATCTATGCATGTGTGTGTAATGTCAATGACATGCCAGATCAATGTTCTCACACATAATCTGTGAAATAGTAGCCCATCCCACTTTCTGAACTGGGTAAGGATTGGATCTGTAACATATAGATTTTAAAAATCAGCTTTATGAACATTTACCATGGAGCCATATTTAAAGTCATAAAATGACAAGTCAAGGACTCTAAACATGATAATAAATTCTTGGAGCCAGATTCATACATCAATAGCAGCATCATGTAACTTAGTTCTATTCCCTTGAGTTAGGTTTGCAAAGAGAATAGATGACTGAGGATCATAGCAGGAAAATATAGAGTGGAATTCATTGTAGCATGGGTCAAGATGATGGCAAAATAAGATCAAGTGTATCAAATTCATAAGCAAATTGTTAATATCAAATGCTTACATGATCAACTTCTGGACTAATTTGAATCATTGTATTTGCAAAAGTCTAGAAAAATACATAGAATAATAGTCGCAAGAAAATTATCACCTTTCTTACACACTATGATGTCTGTGCTGCCAGAACACAAGTATCTCTAGCACTTTGCTGTTTAAAGTATGGTCTCGAAACTAGCAATCTGTGTCAGCACCAGGGCTGCTGTTAGAAATGTAGCATCTAAGACCCAACCTCACAGCTACTAAATCTGAATCTGTATTTTAGCAAGATCCCCAGGGTACTTGAATGCTCATTAAATTTCAAGAAATATTGTTCTATCACAGAGTACTAATACAATGGGGAGGGTCAGCATTGTAGTGCAGAGGGTTAAGCTGCCATTTGCAATTTTGGCATTCCATATTGGAGTGTTGGCTTAAGGCCCAGCTGCTCTGCTTCTGACCCTGCTTCCTGTTAATGTGACTGGGAAGGCAGCAGAAGATGGCCCAAGTACTTGGGTCCCTGCCATGCATGTGAAAGACAAGGGTTGGAGTTCCTGGCTCCTGGCTTCAGCTTGGCTCAGATCTGTTGCAGCCACTGGGGAATGAACCAGTGGGTGGAAGAAAGATCTCAATCTCTTTCTCTCTCTCTCACTCTCTTTCCTCTCTCTCTCTCTCTTTCTCTCTCTGTCTCTATCCTCCCTCCCTCTCTCACTCTTTCAAATAAATCAACAAATCTTTTAAAAATAAAAAATAAATAATGTGGTCCTTAGAAAGCTTAATAAACAGTGGAAAGAATGGGTCATCAAAGAAGGAGGTACCTTTCTCTGAAGGGAGGAGAGAACTTCCACTTTGACCATGGCCTTGTCTAAATATGATCAGAGTCAGTGAACTCAGGGGGCTTCCATAGCCTTGGCAACTCATGACAAGAGCCTAGGGTGATTACTGAGGCCATAAACAAGAGTGTAAATTTGTTAAGTCAACAACAGGAGTCACTGTGCACTTACTCCTCATGTAGGATCTTTGTCCTTAGTGTGCTGTACATTGAGATTTAATGCTATAACTAGTACTCAAACAGTATTTTTCACTTTATGTTTCTGTGTGGCAGCAAACTGTTGAAATCTTTACTTAATGTATGCTAAACTGATCTTCTGTATATAAAGAGAATTGAAAATGAATCTTGATGTGAATGGAAGGGGAGAGGGAGTGGGAAAGGGGAGGGTTGCGGTGGGAGGGACGTTATGGGGGGGAAGCCATTGTAATCCATAAGCTGTACTTTGGAAATTTATATTCATTAAATAAAAGTTTGAAAAAAAAAGAAAGCTTAATAAAGAGCAAATAAAACCATAGTTATAGAAACGTCATAGAAGATTTATCTACCACTTCCATAGTGAAGAGTTAGCTCACTTATATTTCAGGATGTTTTAATCATTTTAAGTAAAAAAGAACAATTTTAAGCGTGACTTTATATGAATTCCCAGCTATACATTGCCCTTGCAAGGCTGTTAAATTTCCTAAATTAGTAAACACTCTAAATAACCATAAAGTTTGTTTTCACTTCAGTATTAAGCCTGATTACACTTACATTATTTTCAGCTTTTTTTTTACTTGAACAGTGTCCCAATTCTGTATCTATATTTTCCCCTAATAAATTCATAAAATGAAGTTTGTAGGGAATCTACAAGTACTTGGAACTTGCAGGTTCTGGATACAGTATTGAAACATAGAGCACATTGCCTTGAAGGAATGTTTCCGTAACGAAATGATAAAACAAGATCATCTCATAATATTAATATACTATAATTTTCTGGTTGATGTACTTGATGAGAAAGAAAAAAGAACTTCATGATTGGTGGATTTATCCTTCAATTATCATGGTGTGTTAGATAACCCTCAGTACTCATCCATTTCCTTAGATATGTCTTCCTCCATTTACTTACCCATAAGAAACTGTATCTGGCACACAGCAGGTGCACAAAATTATTGGTTCCTGAATATCTTTAATGCACATCTTTGTTTTAAACTGAATTGGTTTAATATTATGTTTTATTTCCATCTTTGTACCTCTACTAAGTTCCAATGTCTTGATTATTTCCACATAACTGGCTTTTGGAACCATTTCTTTCACAGTAAGGAGCTCACTCAATAGCTTCTTTATGAATAAATAAAATATCTCATCTAATTCTTAATACAAAAAAAAAGAAATTGGAATCTTAAAACTGCATTTGGAGAGAGGAACAGACATCTAAAATAAGGATGAGGAGCGAGTTGGTGGTTGTTTTTGCTTTGTTTTGTTTTGCTTTGCTTTCAGAGCTTTTACTTGAAATCTACATATTTAACATGTCTAGCAAACGTGCCTCCCAGCTGCCTAGGGGCTCTATTCCAGCGTTCCTCAGCACTGTTCTGATGCCTTTTAGCTGGCATTTGGGAGCCAGGTCTCACCAGAGGACACTTCAGCACTACGGACAGCGCCTGGGCGTGGACTCCCGGGCACTGGGAGGGGATTCGACTGCGTTTGTGGAGAAGAGACAGTAGGGAAGGGGAAGGGAAAGAGCTCCAAATGACGCATTCAGTTTCTAGTACACCTTTCATTTCCTTATCCAAAGAGAATTCTAACATAAGCATTTGGCGCCCACTGTTCAGCTGAGACTGCTGTCACAGAGCCAAGCAAAATGCCCGCGGAACAGCTGGGGATGCAGCAGAGACAGGAAATCAAGGGTTTTTTTTTTGGACAATCAGCTAATTAAACCCTCACTGCCTGAGGAAGCAGGGAGTGATAGTCTCCGGAGTGTGAGACCTCATCTCTACTTGCTTGCTTTTTAGCAGAACTGAAGATGAGATGGAGCCTGTTGCTGCTGTACCCGCAGATTCGCTTCCCCCTCTCGCTTCCCAGCTCCTGTCAGTCTCACCTACACAGACGGTCAGACCCACTCACATACACACCGATCGCGCATGAATGTGTACACACTGCACACCCAACAGATCCGTGCAGGTTTTCCTGCAAACACACACGCTGGCACGCACACACGCGCGCCCCAGCGGGCACCCACGTCCTCTGCTTCTCACCTACAGACCGACAGTGACACGTAGGCCAGGAGAGCGCTGGCCGCCGTCCTGCGACTCCACGCAGGTGCCCAGAACACGCCTCTCACGTTGTCCCTGAGCCGATCCGCGAACACAAACCTGCCAACACTTAGGTCTACTCGCTGGATTTCGTCTCCATGGCAACAAGCATGGAAGGTGAGACATTGCTGCCTGCGAAACTTTCTCCCCCTTTCCTCTGCATTAACTGAGAGGGCTCCAGTGCGGGTCCAGATGAGAAGCATGTCCTCATTATTTTGCCTTTCTGAAGCCAGGGAGTGATATGTGGGAGGCGAAGGGAGCCTGCAGGTCTGCTGAGTTCAGATTCTAAAGGGGAAATAGCCCTAATGCTTCTGCAGCTGCTGATGCTGTTGTAAAAACAAAAACAAAAAAGGGATGTGTTGTGTGTGTGTGCGTGTGTGTGCGCAGATTGCTGATGCTTCTCCCATAATGTTTTGTTGGAAGTTTCCATGATTCTCCAATTTAATATGTAGGAAGAGAACTAGAGACAGTCAATGCTCAATGCAGAATAATAATGATGGTCTAGGTCGCAGAAGAATAATGATGGTCTAGGTTTCTCTACTGAGACATTTGAGAATTTTCAGACCAGTTTGCCAGTGCTTTGGAGAGAATGAGTGTCATACCAAGATTTCCTCTTATGAGGGAAATTCTCTTAAGGTTGAAATCTGAAGGGTTTTAGGGTGGATTTGGAAGATCCCAAGGTTTTGGATCTCTGGGAAACCCTGAAATTTATGCAGTTCACTATGATGAAGACATCTGGGTTTGTAATTCAAGATTTTCCTTTGATTCCAGCATTTATCATTGCTAATGTTTCACTAGCTCTGTGCAGGTGCAGTTTCAGTAATCTGCTTTTCCCTATTTACTTTTCATAGGATTTAGTAGCCTTTGTGTTTGGTGTGGGTTGTGTATGGGTATGTATGGGAGGATTCATTTCTTAAGCTTGGGTTTTCTTACACATCTCATTTCATGAAATTATGAATGTCCTATCATTAGCATTAGAGATTATTAAATCTAATGACCAATAGTCAAAACTTTTTGCCCAGAATGTCATATTCCAACATACTAGTAACAATTCAGATCTGTTGCTTGAAATATCATTACTAGATAAAAATAACAGGAAAAAAAACCTGTTGATTGAAATGAAATACAAGAGGTTCTTTTTAAAAATAGGAACATATTTTTTTAACATTGCTCTGTTATTGTGCATTGTTGTATGCAATCTAAATAATTCTATATTTCTGAAAAATGAATTTTTATATCTCCTAACCAGGAAACCTATTGCACAGAAGGAATAAACTCCACATACAACATTCAAGGATATGAAAGGTTACATATCACTTACAAAAATATTATTATCTTTGCTTGACTACTTACAATGATATCATTTGTACGACTGATCACAGAAATACTGGTTCATTGGTTGCTAACTATAAAGCAATTCCATGAGATTTGGGCCTTTTGGTGTCTGCAGGTACACCTTTGGCCCAATCCTATGACTCATCAGGAGTTAAAACTCTCAGTGCCTGATAATTGCCACTAAGGAAATGATACACTTTCTCTGACCATTTCTAAAGTACTTAAACATTAGCATAAGTGACTACAGCTCAAGGAAATATTTGATCACTTCTAATAGTATCATAAATATGTACTTAAATTTTTAATAATAATATAGAGAGAGCCTGCTACTTAAACTTTACAATGATAGCAATTTTACCTATTTTTGTGGTGCAGTATATTTGAAATTACTTTTATAATCATCTAATTTTACATTCTATTCTTTTTTTTTCAAAATTCATTTTTTTCTCAACTATTTTTCTCATAAGTGTTTATTGATGCTTTGTAACTTCATCATCTAAAATTTCTCATATTCCTTTCATTTTATATTTCCCAGTAAACAGGATATTAGGATATTTTCCTCCTGAAGTAAGCATTACTCTATCTGTTGTGCTGAATCTAATGATTGTTTATTTTCTCATCTCCTTCAACAATTAGAGAAAGTGAAATGGTATCTTTCAACCTTAGTTGATGAGTATTTTGGACATCTTATTATGAAGAAATCAGCACTGGAACTGAAGAACTTTATTTGTTCTAAACAACATTTTGTTACTATTTTTATATCATATTATGCTCTATATCAATAGAAAGGCACAACTCTTCACATGCATAGCAAGTGAGATGGAAAGTTTGAACAATCCTTTGAAGGCTTCAAGACTGATTCAAGACTGAGACACTGGTATTTTAAGTGTTAAACATATGACTTAAATGACCAGGACCATCTACTTGCTGAACATATTGTTAGACCCTGGCTTAACTTTTTCCCTTTATCGCTTTGGTTGACACAGCCTGTGGCAATGCGGACTTTTTTTCAACCTTTGAATGTTGCCCTTTCAGTTGTTCTCCTTGACCTATATTTTGTTTTCATCTATAGTAGAAAGTAGAATTTTAGATGAAAATGAATTTCTAAGTTTTTAAGATAATAAAAAAGAACATTTCTTCTTCCAAGCCCAGATTTTTTTAGAAATAGGTGAATTTACATGATTTTTCTTCTGAAACATGTATATATAACTATGCCCTTACTATTCAAAATTATTAATCTAATTACATAGCCTCCTGCGTCTTTAACTTCTGCCAAGTAAGAAATTTTTTATATCAAATTTATTTTTAATCACCTGGCTCTATTTTCTCATTACTTATCCCTCCTAAATCTCCTCCCAGATAGTGCTATCCTGGACACAACTGGAATTGTTGTATCTATGAAATAATTCTGAATACCACACCCAGGCTTTGTTTTGCGGTGCTTAATTTGTATCACTACCCCATTATTTGACATTATCACTGATGCTTCCTTTGAGAAACTCTAGCCTCCTTTGTCTCAGGTGAACTTCCTATTACAGATTTACTCATCTCATGATCTCCCAGTACAATATCCCATTTTCTTTTTGAAGAAGAGGTATCCTTTGAGGCTTATGGCCAGTTTATTCCATCTTCATTCCTTCTGGTAGCATGACATAAAACCTTGATGGAATTAAAACAAAATTTCCCTGAACCAATCTAGAGCAAATCAATCTCTTTTCCTGTAAGACAACACTTCAAATATTGAACGTATATATTGTCTTTGATTTTCCCTTTCCTAGGCAATAATCCAAACTCATTCCTTAAGTTTAAATCTGCAAATACTTCTATGCACTTAATTTTCTCTATCCTGGATAAATTTTCTGCAAATACTTTTTTTTTTTTACAATAAAACCCTTAAAATGTTCTTCTCACTAGGAATTTTTTGTTGGACAAATGATCTGGATGAACTTATTTTTAAAAGTATTTACTGAGTGTCTATATGTGTAGGAAAGAACAGAACAAATTCACTAAGTCCAAAAATAAACTCTTTATTTACTTTCTAAGCCTGTTCTTAGTTTTTTATTTTCTTTGTTTTGGTTATAAAAACACTATATACTTACCTAGGCTTGCTACAATGGAGTTACCTTTGCTGTCTCTCTCTCCATGCTCCTCATTCTCTCTTTTGCCAAATCCATCCCTTTTCTCTGTACACACACACACACACACACACACACACATATATATATAGCTGTAAAACCCATACCCTCTTCCAGACCCTTGTTTCTTCTCAGCTGAACATTTCTCTCCCATATTGTGCTCTCCCTCAAATTTATGTCTACTCTAGTCTTATCCTGAAGAAACTCAGCTTTTGGGCCAATAGATTCAAAATCAGCCTGAGGGTCAAAATATTTCACACTTTGGCTCCAACCTACCTTTCCAATGTTTTATTTCCCATACTGTGTTTTGCTAGGACTAGATTGTTCACTATCTTTTGAAAAAATCCAGCAGTTTTCTGTCTTCAGGTTTATTATCATGTTCTTTCCTTCCCCAACAATCTGAATTCTTCAGTATTTAAAGATTCAGTTCACCAGAAAAACCTGTGATTCTCAGATGGGTGAAATCTATATTCTCTCTGAATTTATATATCCTCTTTGAATCTCTCTGTGTTTTCATCAAGATACTGAAGGTAGGGGCCGGCATGGTGGTATGAAATGCGGGCATCCCGTATGGAGGCTAGTTTAAGTCCCAGCTGCTTCACTTCCGATCCAGCTCCCTGGTAATTCTCTGCTAATACTCCTGGGACAGAAGCAGATGGCCCAAGTACTTGGGCTCCTGTACCCATATGGGAGACCTAGAGGAAGCTTTGGCTCTTGACTTTGGCCTGACCCATGCCTGGCCATTGAGGTTATTTGGGGAGTGATTCAGCAGATTGAAGACATCTCTCTCAGGCTAAAGTCAAATGATTTCTCCCTAGGGAAACCTTTGCTAACCTCTTTAACTAAAGGAGTGTCTCTCATCCATCTTCTTCATTCTTGTGCATCCTACATTACTTTGCTTTCTTTTGTATAATTTATGACTGTGACTACCTGGAACAATATATAGATATAGATCTATAGAGTTAGATATTTTCAAATCTATCTCCTCCACTGGGACATAACTTTCAGTTGTCTATTTCATGACTATCTAGCATCAAAAACAGCACTGACACATAACAAATACCCAATATATATTTCTTAAACAAATGGAAATACTATTATACATTACCTTACACCCATTCAGCTCTTTAGACTTCCTGATGGCATTCTCAAAGTTTGTGGTGACTTAGCATTTGTCCTAGTTACACTGCATTTCTTACGTCTTTGAATGAATAATAGACAAAGAAATTATGTTTAAAGCAATGTAAGAGCCATATTTGTATATACATTGTATATATATATTTGTGTATATATATATATATTCCTCCAAGAAAGTATAAAAATAGTGACTTTGTTCATTTACTAGCAGTAACTCTGTGTACCCATTCATTATTTAGACCCCTCCACCCGATTCCAAATGCCTTTGAGATATCTTACAATAATCATCCTAGCTATTATAATAGCCAAGTAATGTAGAATGGGGCAAATTAGGGGCAATTATACCAGAAATCTTGAGCTAACCAAAGTCACTGCAATTAAATAGAAAATTCAAATCCACCAGGTACACCACGGTGTCCACTCAATAAACCAGATTTCTTGACTCTCTTACCCACATATCTCCTGAATTACACAAATGTTGCAGCCTATAAAGACTGTGCTCTCATGGAAAACTAATCCAGATCATTTACTTAGCTAAATAAGTCAGTTATATGATAAATGCTTGGTCCAGCATCTCCAAGTGGAAGTATCTTGCTTTTCAATTTCTCTATTTACTAAACACATAAACCAGAGAGAAAATGGATTTCAAAATATGATCATTAATTAACAAAAGCAAGAGAATTAGAGATTTAGTCAGAAAAAAATCTAGTTAAGTCTTTATTTATTTATTTATTTTTTGACAGGCAGAGTTAGACAGTGAGAGAGAGAGACAGAGAGAAAGGTCTTCATTTCGTTGGTTCACACCCCAGATGGCCACTAGGGCTGGCGTGCTGCACCGATCCGAAGCCAGGAGCCAGGAGTCAGGTGCTTCTTCCTGATCTCCCATGTGGGTGCAGGGCCCAAGCACTTGGGCCATCCTCCACTGCCCTCCCGGGCCACAGCAGAGAGCTGGACTGGAAGAGGACCAACCAGGACAGAATCCAGTGCCCCAACCGGGACTAGAACCCTGTGTGCCGGCGCCGCAGGCGGAGGATTAGCCTAGTGAGCCGCGGCACCAGCCATAGTTAAGTCTTAAGATCATTAGCTATTCACCACAGTCTCCTGTGCTCTTTACAGGAAAAATAATACAAATTCAGTCTCCATAATGATCACTCTGAGCCATGTAAGTGACCATAAATAAAACAAAAAGTAGAGTTCACTATAATGTATGTATTAGTGTAGAAAAAAATTTCATGGAAAGAACTTCAATAGAAGAGCTTGAAGCAGTATTTCTTTTATTAAACACAGTCAAACCACTGGCATGCCCCAGAATGTATTGAATATTTCTGCCACTTAAGAATTGAAGATAGAGCTCTTTGATAATCCAAACCACTATAAAATAATATATTGATTGGCATTAATGTTAATCAGTTGTATTATTTGTTGAATAATTTTTTAAACTAAAATATTTGTTCTTATTAATTATTATCCATCACTTTGTCTCAGTTTGTTTCTGAACATTGAGTCCCAAGAAATTCAGCAATTTAAATAGAGATAAATCCTAAAAATTATCATATGAAACCAGAAGAAAAGGGAAAACACCAAGTCTATCATTCTGTTATTGAATGACAAGCTATTTGGTGACAATCTTTTCAAGGTCAGCTGCATCTCAACAATCTCTTGATCTAATCAACCAAATTCTTCCAAGTGATTTATTTAATTATCTTAAGGCATAAAATAGAAAAATATTTTGTTTCAATTCACTGTGCATTTCTGAACAGATTTAGAATCTCAATACAGTAAGTTCATAAATGTGGAAATCTGGTTGAGAGGAAGACTAAGGAGCTTGTCTTGAAGCTGAATTTGTGGAGAGAACATGCTGTTTAACTTGGATTTTATGTTTCTTTAGGGTATTCTGAAAGCTAATGAAGTTGGTGGGGGAGGTAATTAATGGTCCACAACAACTGCTACCGGTCACTTGCAAGATGTGATGTGGGGCATTGCTTATATTAATAAAATCTTAAAAACATAATACTCTAGGAAATTGATACTTAATGTATGGGTGTTAGTGGAGAAGCAAATGCTGTATATAAATTTTAAATGCTAAGGAGATAAAAGATATTACATCCATTTAAACCCACAGAACCTGGATCAGACAAAAGGGAACTGGAGATAGACTTTGAAGTAGGCATTTTATATTATATACTTCGGAAAGCTTATGCTCTGAAATTGCTTATGGAAAAGAATGAGGTGAAAATTAGATGACAATTCAGATTTAAGAAGCAATGAATCAACCATCTACTAATGAATCAAAAGCTCTTAGGTTTAAGTATTTGAATATTCATCTTCATACTTGATTTTATATCTAAAGCTTATAGCAACAGTTTCATGGGCCCACAAAGGTATTCTGTAATTATTGTGATAGGAGTAGCATCTCCAATGCTAACTTGATTCTAGTCCATATCTGAAGACCCTATCAAATATTTTTTATGAGTTGTGTCAAGAAGGTTTGAAAAATGCTAGATTTTATGAAATAATTTCGAGTCTGATACCATATAAGGATAAAACTAAACTGAGTCTAATTTTGTACCTAGGCCAAGAGTTGATTCCAGCAGGAATTTTGAAGAGCCACAATGATGTGCCAGTGAATAATGAGTAGTACCTACTGTGGCAACTCTTCAGCTAAGATGAGTGTCAACGAAGTATCAGCTTTCTCATTGACGCTGGAGCAAAAAACTGGCTTTGCTTTCGTTGGAATTTTGTGTATCTTCTTGGGACTTCTTATTATCAGATGCTTCAAAATTCTGTTAGACCCATACAGTAGCATGCCTTCCTCCACATGGGAAGATGAAGTTGAAGAGTTTGATAAAGGAACTTTTGAATATGCCCTTGCATGAGAGTTCCAGCTTTACGATTATGCCATTGGGACCCATGGTGGATACATTTGTAATTATGCTGAGTGTACTGGGAAGGGGCTCATTTCATTCACTAAATTCAATAAACATCTGTGATTGATTTATCTACCACACCGTGTACTTGATAAACCATCTTTGGATTTCCTCACTTTATTCTCTCTGGATTGATGCCAGCCACACAGAGAAGCCATTTTTAACTTATCTCACACATCTACCTATGTTTCCTTTCTTTTTTCAATTTTTTATTTATTCGTTTGAGAGTCAGAGAAACAGACATTCAAACATACACACACACACACACACACACACAAACCCACACACAAACATACATACACACACAGAAAAAGAGACTTTCTATCCTCTGATTTTCTTCCAAAATGCCCCTGATGACTGGAAGGGGCTCAGCCAAGCCCAAAGTCCAGAGTTGAGAACTCAACCCAGGTGTTTGACACTGGTGGCAGGGACAGAATTGCTTGAACTATCACCACCGCCTACTAATGTCTGTGTTAGCAGGAAGCTGGAATCAGGAGCCAGAGCTGGTTATCAAACATGGCTACTCTGACATGGTACAGTGTGTCTTAACCACTAAGTCTGGGCCGGCACTGTGGCCTAGTAGGTAAGCCTCTGCCTGCGATGCCAGCATCCCACATGGCGCAGGTTTGTGTCCTGGCTGCTCCTCTTCTGATCCAGCTCTTCGCTACTGTTTGGGAAAGCAGTGGAGGATGGCCCAAGTCCTTGGGCTCTCTGCACCCATGTAGGAAACCTGGGAGAAGTTCCTGGCTTTTGGCTTTGGATCAGCCCAGCTCCAGCCGTTTGGGGAGTGAAACAGCGAATGGAAGACCTTTCTCTCTGTCTGTAACTCTACTTCTCAAATAAATAAGTAAAATCTAAACAAAAATCCTACTAAGCCAAATGCCACCACTTTGATTCCTTTCTTGTGCTAATAAATTACAATAGATGGTTCCAGTTCATCCTATGCGAAGCCCAGGCACCCTTTCCACATTTCAGACTCAAGCTTTTCTAGCTTTAATAAATCATGCCTTAAATATGAGAGACTTTCAATTCTTCAGTCCAAGGATAAACAGAATATGACTTTCTGAATAATAACTATAGGTCAAAGAAATTGGCATGTGAAATAAACTCAAAAACTATCACCCAAACCCTAAAAGCAGACACATGCCCTAAAAGTTCCCAAATCTCACGGAGCCCTAACCCTTCTAAGTTTGTCTCTTGTTGAGCCTCTTGCAATAAAACCCCTTAAGTTGAGATCCAAAATAGATCATTTCATATTAACACTCTTTCTTTTATCCCTTTTATTAAATGCATTTAAGTGGGAATTTCCAGCATGACCCTGTGGAAGCACTCACCAGACGTGGGAAGTCCAGTCTCAGTTCTGCCACTATTAGGGCTACATAACTTTGGACAAATTATCTAGTTTCTTTGGTCTTCACTGAGGGAACTAACCAGAGGGCTGGTATTGTGCTTTTCAATTCTAATGCCCTATGAATAATACAAATGTACCTGGAAACCCAGAGATCTGAGGTGAATGAGGATTTAAGAGAATGAAAAAGTTTTCAGATTAGGAGCCTAAATTCAGAAATTTGATTCTCATGTTGGCCCACCCAACAACCAGCTTTATGACCTATATAGTTCCCTAAATGCAACCTATTTTCTATATGTAGAATCAGGGATACAGAAACTCATCCTGTAGGGCTTATAGGAATTTTGGGAGGATCAATGACATAAATAAAAATGAAAGCACCTTGAAAATATAAAACACTGTTTAAATGGGCCTTGTTTTTATTATTTCTATTCTTCATTAGGGTAGTAATAGAGATTCTCAAACTTTAAGAAGAAATGGTTAAGTTATTCAGTCTTTCAAATCTTCAGCTTCCTCATTTCAAAATGAGAATACAAAATCAAGTAATTTTAAAAGCCTTCCCAACTAAAAAGTTCTGACTCTCTATGATCGTTGAATAGAGGAATATAACAGGAGATAAATCAATACAAAAATGTTTGTGTCAATTGAGCCCACAGAACTGTCAAATATATTAAGCAGAATGAACTAATATTTATTAAAAGCACTAAATTACATGTTTTACATGTTTTTCATTTATTTGATACTTTTATCAATCTTTTAAGTTTGGGATTACCATTTCCATTTTATTTATTCATTATTTACTATTTGTTTATATTTGTTTGAAAGGCATAGAAACAGAAAGAGATCTCCCATATGCTCATTTACTTTCCAAATATCCCAAAGAGCCAGAGATGGGACAGACCAAAGCCAGGAGCTAGAAACACAATTCAGGTCTCCTGGGTAGGTGGAAGGGACCCAAGTATTTGATAAAATACTTGCTGTCTCTCAGAGTGTACACTCCAGAGCTAGCCATTTCAGTGAGATTCCCAGATATTTTCCATCTCCTAGAAGGGGGCTTCAGAATGTTCAAGAAAAAATTGAATTGAAAAACAATGCGCCAGCGCCACAGCTCACTAGGCTAATCCTCCGCCTTGCGGCGCTGGCACACCAGGTTCTAGTCCCTGTCGGGGCGCCGGATTCTGTCCCGGTGCCCCTCTTCCAGGCCAGCTCTCTGCTGTGGCCTGGGAAGGGAGTGGAGGATGGCCCAAGTGCTTGGGCCCTGCACCCCATGGGAGACCAGGATAAGCACCTGGCTCCTGCCATCGGATCAGCGCGGTGCACCGGCCACAGCGCGCCAGCCGCGGCGGCCGTTGGAGGGTGAACCAACGGCAAAAGGAAGACTTTTCTCTCTGTCTCTCTCTCTCACTGTCTACTCTGCCTGTCAAAAAAAATAAAATAAAAAAAAAAGAAAAACAATGCACATTTTCCATGAACATTTAAAACCATCCTCGTAGCAGATTATGAACACATTTTAGTTGACTACGGATATTCTGGACCAAAACCTCACCTCCAGGAAGATCCTTGTACCTCAGCTGGTAAAAAAGTACAGGGCTGGAACACTTTGTAGTCAGTTCATAGTTTGGCCCAAGATATCTCACTGCCCAGCTCAGCTAAACGTGCTGAGAATTGTATATGCCAAGACAGCAGGCATCTCCTTTGTGAACCAGACTTCAGAAGGGCTCCAAAGATAGGCACACAAATACCAAGTGTTCCATTTGTCTCCTAGGGAAAGCATTTAGATCTTCAGTTATAAGGCCAGATCTTCATGTCAAAAAGAATAAAAGGTCTCAAAAAACAGAAAGCAAGCACGCACAAATTTATGAATTATGAGTGTTGTTTCTGAAAGTTCATCTCCAACAAGTTTTTCAGACACCAACTAAATTAAAATATTATTTCTAATGTTGCTAAAGAGAAATTCTATTAAACAGAAGTGTCTTCATTCATGCCTTTCACTCATGAATTGTGTGCCTTAGACCTTTGAGTGGAAAGAGGCATTACCATCTGTATTTTCAGAGCTAAAAACAACATAAAAATATAAAAGGCTAGTTATAGTATGCATACAACACAGAAATTTCATGAAATGCTAATCCTAGGAATAGATGTCCAGTGTGGTAGCTTGATCATCCCCCTAACTGCCCTCTCCCAAGAGCTTCATCAGGGAGAACAGAAGGAAAGGTAGAGGTGCATATCTCCAAACAGCTTGCTCCTGTTACTTTACCCACCTGTTTAAAAGGACTAAATCAGGTTCACCTTTCAAGGTTGGCTTTATGGATGGTGTAATTTCATCCATATCCCCCAAAAGCATCTCCCATCTGCTCCAGAAAGTCTGAATCCCCTTAATAGAAAACAAAGACTTTCATTTCACAGTTAGAGATAAAAGCTGTAGAATGAAAATGTCTGGTTGATGTAAGACCAAGACTAAAACTAATTCGCACTACACTGTAGCCAGACAGGAAGTCAGCAAGAAAAAGGAAATTGACTGGTATCAGAGACACTCACAGTCTTTGATAGAGGAGAAAGGTTACAGAATAAATAGGAGACTCTTGGAAGAGGGTGGGATGGCAAATCACAGTTCACAACTCCTGTCTTGGTTCTGATGAACTGAACTTGTTTTGGGTCCCAGCCCTATCCTAGCTGTCCCCAGTAATGCTCTAAACAAACAGCCCCATCTTGCTAAATCTAAAAGGTGACTAATTCCTATGCCCAAAATCCTTATATGGGAAGTCAGAACCCTTCGTTGAACAGAAAAAATGCCTTGAACCGATGGCCTTCAAAAGCAGGTTGAGTAATAGGTACATACTTGTAATTCTGTCCCTATCTCTGATATAGCTTCATGACATTTACCTGACCGTCAGGCATGATATTTCCCTAAGAGCTTCTAAAAGGGTTTACTTAGGTATCTCCAGACTGTTTTCTATAACATACATTTGTTCAGCAAAACATTCCCCCAATTTTAATAAGCATAATAGCTCTCTCAGTCTCTGAAGACTGACCTCAAAATCCTGGATGTGACTTAGTAAAAGTCACCAGCCAATTGCAAACATTGCTGCAATGGGAAAAGCTAACACTGTGTACAAACCAGTGCTGTTCTAAACTCAATACAAATTAATTCATTTAACTTTCAGAATAACTCTACGAGATAGGTACCCTCATCCACACCTACATTTGCCAGTGAGAAAATAACTTGCCCAAGTTCACATAAATAGGAAGTAGCCAGGCAGGATATTAATTTAGCATTTTGACTCCAGAGTATTACTCTTAACCGCTATATTACACCACAACTGAGCCACTCCAGCAACTGGAAATCACTTGGATAGTTTCTTACAAGTCGAAAGAAGCACTCATTCAATCATCCTGATGGAAAACCAATGGTAGAACCTGCAGGGAGGAATTGTTTGTGCTGTCTTAATAATCACCAATTCCCACAATCCAGCAAAACCTGTTCCTCAACAAAACTCAGAAAAATCTGGTTTGATAAAAGTACTTTTCCTGGTAGGACACAGGTCATTTAGTAGTACAACTAGGAAACTTACCCACAATTTGATTCCTGCTTGAAATCATTTTCCACTTGAAACCATTTGATAAATCATTGATTCTACTCTCAATCTTCTCACTTCCCATGCAAACAAAAATCAAGGCGATATTGTATAAACAACATGAAACCATTTATGACACCATTTTCTACTTACAAAGTACAGATATTATCTCTGGAGGACTATACGTTGGTACACATGCTGAAGTCCTAGAATACTAGGACTCATCCTGCAACTGTGGGACCCAATTTAGCCCTCCAAGATGGAAGCAATGTGCACATTTTTGGAAGGATTGCTATTGAGCAATCCAATTCGCCTTTTAAATTAAAGAAATGTTATTTTACTTCCTGCCTAAAAGGATTAATGGTTCACTAGTAGTTACTCGTTGATGTGGTACTTAACATTCCCTGGGGGCTGATGACTGGGTGGGGCTTATAATACTATTCCAGGCCAATCATTGCAAAGCCATCTCCTTCAAGGGAGGTGCTAACCAATGAGAAGAAACCTAATGTTCCAAGCTGAAAGCCAAATGCTCCATATATGCCTGCATGATGCTGAAGCAGGTGCTTCTTCAACAGAAGGCTCCTAGGTGGTAAGTTACACATTTCTAGGCAGAATGAAAATTTCACTTCATATAATGTCCTAATGTAGGTTCTGAGGAAAGGGGTAAAGGTGAGGATGTCAAGGATTATGAAGAGAGTGAGACGCTTTGCGAAAACGAAAAAGCTAAGTTTCACTTATAATTTCCACAGGAAAGATTGAGTTGAAGTTGACTTTGTTATTCAAAGAAGTAGCTTAAATAACTGCAAGAGAAAGGCAAGTTTTATTCGTATTCATTTCATCATTCCAGAATTTTTTTCAAAAAGGCAAATTTTATGATATCAGCAAAAAATATTATTCTACAAAAAGTGTTTTAAAGAGAGCTTATAGCATCCAAGTATAAAAATTGTTATGTAGTCTATTCATCTTACAGTCAAAAATAAACTGAATTATTGAGAGTATTTCATTAAAGGGAGTCAGTAGAATATGATTAGTTTACCTAAATATATTAATATGGCATTATTAACAGCAATAATATATTTTCTGACCCCAAATATTCATATTTTTAAAATGCTCCAAAGTAACATTTGCAAAACAAATATATAAGCAAATGAAACATTTTGAATGCTAGTAAATCTCCAAGAATTTACATAGACAGCATCTTACAAGATGCATTGTTAAATTAACATCCTATTTCGGTATTTCATATTTCGGTAGATAACAAAATATTTCTGAAATAGTTATTATGAGAGTATGTACAGATTTTTGTAAACTAGCAAGAATGTAATTTTTTGAAGTTTTCCATTTTTATACTTTTTATAATATGTGTATTTCTATCAGTCATTAAAAAAACTTTGCAGTTTCAGCATTTACTACTGTCAATAAATGATGTTTCAAGGTTAGAATATTCTCATCAATTCTTATCTTAATCAGTAGAATTGTATCTTTTCTGAAAATCATATTGAATCCAATTGTACAGATTCCAAGTGAATAATACAAAACACAGGTAATATTTCAATGACTTTATCAGAAATTCTGTTTGCTTAAATAGTCCCCAGTTTATTATAAGATTTAATTGCTCAGCTGACTAAGGTTCTTGAACAGGTAATTTTTAGTGAAATGAGTTTAAAAGTATATATCTTGTAAAAAAAACTATGCTTTCCATACCCCACCCCCACTTAAATATTTGTGTATTACTTGAAACAAGTTTAATGTTTTTTTCAGTGACAGCTTTGAAGAACATTCTGAAGATTGTATGGAAGACAATATATCAAGAGTCTATTTATTGAATTTGTCTAGAACAAAAGCCAAGAGCTCTCTAATGTAACCACGTTAGTGCTTATTTTGAGGAGGAATATATAGATTTTTTTAAACAACTATAAAGCAAATAGCTTACTAACAAAAAATCCATTTTGGAAGATGTCACTAAATAACTCTTCCAGTGTATTTCTGGATTCAGTGCCCACTAATACAAATCGCTTTCAAGTTAATGTCATAAATGAGAACCACGAGAGCTGTGCAGCTGGCATTGACAATACTGATCCACCACATTATGAAGAAACCTCCTTTGGGGATGAACAAAATAGACTCAGAATCAGCTTTAGGCCTGGGAATCAGGAGTGCTATGATAATTTTCTCCAAACTGGAGAAACAACCAAAACAGATGCCAGTTTTCACACTTACGATTCTCACACTAACACATACTACCTACAAACCTTTGGCCACAACACCATGGATGCTGTTCCCAAGATTGAGTACTATCGCAACACCGGCAGTGTCAGTGGGCCCAAGGTCAACAGGCCCAGTTTGCTTGAGATTCACGAGCAACTGGCAAAGGTAAGCTTGAAGAATGCAGGTGAGTATCTTGCTTTATTTATTCCTTCAAGTCATTTCTTGTATAGTATTTCATAATACTATGAATGTAAAACAGTCAAATGAAGAGGTTTGTTCCAAACCACCCTTCCTACTAACACAACTGTCCCTAATTTCCAATAAACAGAAAAGGCACAACAAATGCTGCACAAATATTTACTGACTCAGGATAGAGAGCTAAAGAATTAATTCTGATGTTAGGCAATACGTTACATCTAGTTCACAATTACAGGCTGCTCAATTCACACTTGGTTAAACATGTTAAACTGACTTGCACGCTGGTTCTACCTTAGTTTAATGTGTCCATACCAACTATAAAATAAACAAAATAACCACTTGTGCTTCTGTAGTTAATACTGTAGGTGCCAGATTTAGTGTGAATGATTATTTTTTATATTCTTTAAAGAGAGAGCAGAGAGGTATAAGATTCAACATTTTATCTCTTCCTCTTTGCCTGAAGCTCTTGAATGCACCTAAGCATATAGAAAATAAATTATTACACAAGCAGCAGAAATGGCTAAACTTTTCATTATTTAGGGAACATAGCTAGGGTTCCCAAATCTGCTAGCAGGATGAGGCAGCACTTTTTCTAATCGTGTAGCGCATCATTTGGAGACTTAGTAGATTGTCTCTTCTATAACTTGCTCTAAAATATGTTGATGGACTTTATCTTCTGCTCTTCTGGAACACAATTGAATAAGATTATTCTTTAGGGAATATAATTACTTACTAAGAAGAACTAACTAGATGTCACACATTCAAATATAATTTACCCTTGTCCAAGTTTTGATGAGAGGTAAAAAAACATGATCAGCACAGGCCCTTTCCTATTCAAGCAATAATTTTTTTATTAAATGATTACCCACTCCGGAGACGCTAGGGATACTGCTTTCATGCTCTGCCACACTACTTGTGATAATTTTAAAAACTGACCCTTTGCAAAAATTGCTATCAAAATTTAAAATATTCCCATTCATCTCTTTCCCCAGTTTACAACAAAAGGAAACTTTAACTCCATTAGAAAGGAAATAAAATAGGGCCGGCGCCGTGGCTCACTAGGCTAATCCTCCGCCTAGCGGCGCTGGCACACCGGGTTCTAGTCCCGGTCGGGGCGCCAGATTCTGTCCCGGTTGCCCCTCTTCCAGGCCAGCTCTCTGCTGTGGCCAGGGAGTGCAGTGGAGGATGGCCCAGGTACTTGGGCCCTGCACCCCTTGGGAGACCAGGAAAAGCACCTGGCTCCTGGCTCCTGCCATTGGATCAGCGTGGTGCGCCAGCCGCGGCGGCCATTGGAGGGTGAACCAACGGCAAAAGGAAGACCTTTCTCTCTGTCTCTCTCACTGTCCACTCTGCCTGTCAAAAAAAAAAAAAAAAAAAAAGGAAATAAAATAAACTCATGTTGTTCCCAGGACCAAAATTTAGATAGAAAAGCAGCTTATTTCTAGTTTTGAAAGCTGTGACCTGTGAATCTTGAAATAAAGTAAAAGGAGAAAAACTCTGAAGGCCATCTGAATGACCATGCAGTAGGAATGTTACAGCTGCATTTGAAAATTTGATAGCTGCTTGGAATATTGTATCATTTTTGAATACTTAATTTTTTTTGAGTCAGTGCATGTTTTCTCAAACACAAAGGGATGGCAAGTTAAATATACTAAAAATTAAGTTTAAGCTCAATGTTCTGAATAATCATCCTGAACAAGTATAGCAGTAAGTTATTGCTTTTATGAATTTGACCCTCACTTATCTCGGGTACTGCATTATCTCAGGAACTGCATTATCTCGGGTACTGCATTAAATCATGTACGCATATCTCCACAGCCAAACTGTGAGTAGAATTCGGTTACAGAACATCAGAGCCTATGACACACACATTCCTGCACTCAGTGTTCCAGAAGTTGTAGGGAGCAGTCTGTCTCTGCAGCTGCTCTCCTTGGGTGCTGCCTTTGCATTGCAAATGTGAATCATTGACAGGTCTATCTTCCTTGCTAGTAAATTCGATTCAGCTATTACTCCATGTCCACTGCCAAAAAATAAGAGATGAAGAAGAAGGCATGTAAAATGATATTGCAATGCTGCCACATCCTTGTGACCCTTAATGTTTCTATGGTGGTTCTTCAAATCACAGGAAAACAAACATTATATAATAAAACACCAACACTACACAGGTTTTGGGTTAAAAATTATCAATTGCAGTGTTTACTTAGAGACTGGCATTGTGTGGCAGCAGATTAAGCCACTCACTTGCAACAGCTGCATCCTGTATCGTAGTGTCAGTTCCAGCCTGGCTGCTCCATTTCCAATCCAGCTCCCTGTTAATGCGCCTGGGAAAGTAGATGATGATGGCCGAAGTACTTGGGCCCCTGTCACCTTTGTGGGAGACCTGGATGGAATTCCAGACTTCTGACTTTGGCCTAGCCCAACCCCAGACATGGTGGTCATTTGTGAAATGAAACAACAGATGGAAGAGCTCTCTCCTCTCTTTCCCTCTCTGTCATTCTGCCTTTCAAATAAATATATTTTTAATTGTGTTTACTTAAATAATTTGAAACTGGAAACAAATTGGCATAGTACAAGTTAGGCAATATTTTTTAAATTCATGATTATAATGCTTTCAAAATCTGTACAGCAATTATTCATTTATAGTCAATGGCATAACATTATTTCATCAGGAAACCGGTTGCTTTTTGTTGAAATATGATTATAATTTCTGATTCAGGAAAAATTTGACAAGATTTTCCTAACAAGTAAGATGAAAAATAGGCTTGAAAGACATCGTTTTAAGTCTCTACCTTACATGAAACTTTAGCACCGATAGGTATTGACAGAATTTGTAATCCCAATTATTTGAACTTGTAGCTGAAGAAATTCTTTTCATTTACTATGTTGTGAAGAGTTATACTGGTAGCTATACATTACAGATTTATAAACACTCTTATTAAAAGCAGAAAAAAGACCTTGTCCATTACTTGCTCTGCAATATTGTACAAGCTAACCAATTTCTTTTTTTCTTATAGGATGTCAGTGAATATTAGTTTACATAAATACAAAGTCTAGCACATTGGCTACAATAAGTAGGAACTCATTAAATGACAGCTCAAGATGATGGCAGTAATTTTTATACTAGCTTTTTACTTAAAAAGTAAAATATTTAACAAGTATTAAATATATATAGATAGATATACATATGCACATAACGAAAGATCTCTCATCTAACATTAATCTTAAGTTATTCTCCCTAAGGCAGTCACTATTGATAGTTTCTTATAAGTCCTTCCAGAAACTTTCTGGCTTATGCAAACATAAGTTTATAAATATCTATATTTCTATCTAACTTTCTGTCTATATTCTTTTTTAAAACACATAAAGGGGCATATATTACTCATTGTTTTGTGTTCTTCTGTTTTCATTCAACAGTAGACCCTGGAGTTCCTTCCATGTGTTGTGATTTCATATCTAGCAAAGATTAATTCGGTGCTTTACTTTGTAAGGCGACTTCTGCTTTCAGTCTGGCCCAAGTCATGTGACCACCTTGTCATACACAATTCCTTATGATAGTACTAACCAAAGTGGAACTCCATCCCAGCCATACCAACCATCATTCTTATTAGTATTTCAGTAAAGTATAACTATTTTCTTTTTTTTATTTGACAGGTAGAGTTAGAGAGAGTGAAAGAGAGAGAGACAGGGAGAAAGGTCTTCCTTCTGTTGGTTCCCTTTTCAAATGGCAGCTACGGCTGGTGCTACCCCGATCCGAAGCCAGGAGCCAGGTGCTTCCTCCCATGAGGGTGCAGGGGCCAAGCACTTGGGCCACAGCAGAAAACTGGACTGGAAGAGGAGCAACCGGGACTAGAACCCGGCGCTCATATGGGATGCCAGCGCCACAGGTGGAGGATTAACCAAGTGAGCCACGGCACTGGCCCAAAGTATAACTATTTTCAAAAATAAAAAGTATAAAATATTATCAAATCTAAGACGGAAATATATTCTTAAGAAAGCAAACTCTGTAGAAACTGATTCAAAACAAAAAAAAATGAAAAAATTTCATGTTAGGGTCAGCAGGCTATTAACAATTGAAAATAATTTGTAACTAAGAGCATTAATATTGACTGTAGTGTAATAACAACCAGTTTTTTACTGAGAATTTTTAGGAGTCAGACACTGCGCTCATACTAGAAAAATTCTCATTCAATCCTTACAACAACCTCTTAAGGTAACCACTATTGTTATTACTATTTTATAGATGTTGCAATTTTATAAAATGCTTTGGACCTTTTAGAAGGGAAAACAAAGACTTACAGAAGTCCACAAACTTCCACAGTAAGAAGCCAAGGTCATTTTGTCAATAAGTTGAACCCATGTCTGCATGACTCTGAAGTTCAAAGCCTTTACCGATACTACACTTTGCCTTAGCATATTCAATACCATGCAGTACCGTGGAAATCAGGCGCAAAGACAACTGCACCTTGGTCATGATGGGCAGAGTAGGAGGCTTAAATTCATTCCTTGTTTCTGGGACTATATCAAGAAACTGTATTGCTTCCCCTACATAATTAATTATAGATCTCAATCATTTTCATTGTCATCATCAAAAGCATTTATTAGACATTTATTTACATGAGCTGTTATATAAAGTGAATTAAAAATATATGATCTTTAACCTTTAGAATTTTATGATATATATAAAATGACATTATAGATAAAAATAAAGGACATATAGTCAAGTTAACAAACATTAAACCATGTAAATCAAGATACTAAGTGTTGATCTTCTGTACAAAGACAGGTAAAATATTTTTCCTACAATATAATCTTTTCTAAAGTGTTTCAAAGCTCAAATTTGGAAGTATAACATTTGAACTGGAGATATTCAAAATTAGAAATGGTCACTAAACCAAAAACAAGCAAAATAGATATTAAAATGGAAGCAATAAACGCCTTAACGGCCAACGGTGACTGAAAGCCACCCT